AAAGGCTGGTTAAAAATCACGAGAGAAACATCCAAGAGATATGGGATAACATAAAAAAACCAAACCTACGAGTCATCGGGATAGAAGAAGGTACAGAGATTCAAACCAAGAGAATGAGTAGCCTGCTGAATGAAATAATTACAGAGAACTTTCCAGAAATAAAAAAGGAAACGGATATACAAATTTTAGATGCATACAGGACACCGAGCACACAAAATCACAGTAGACCAACGCCATGAAGATATGTTGAAGATATCCAATATACAGAACAAAGAGAAAATTTTAAAAGCTACAAGAGAAAGGAGGCAGATTACATTCAGGAGTAAACCAATAAGGTTAACAACGGATTTTTCATCACAGACACTGAAAGCGAGAAGATCCTGGAACAACGTATTTCAAACACTGAAAGACAATGGATGCCAAGCAAGAATTCTGTATCCAGCAAAATTAAGCTTCAGGTACGACAACGAAATAAAAATCTTTCATGATAAACAAAAGCTAAAAGAATTTGCAGCCAGAAAACCAGCACTGCAAAGCATCTTGAGCAAAACACTACATGAGGAAGAAATGAAAAACAATAACCAAAACCATCAGTGGGAAGTGCCCCTATAAAAGCAGAAGGCAGGGGGAAAGCTAACCATGGAGAAACAAACTAAATTAAATTAAAAAAAAAAAAGAAGATAAATAATCAAACATGGCTGGAAGTACAAACCATATATCAATAGTAACTCTAAACGTTAATGGCTTAAACTCTCCAATAAAGCGACATAGGCTGGTAACATGGATTAAAAAAACAAATCCAACAATATGCTGTCTCCAGGAGACACATCTGATTGCAAAAGACATACACAGGCTGAAGGTGAAAGGTTGGGGAAAAAATATATCATGCACACAGTCCTCATAAGCAAGCAGGGGTGGCCATCCTCATATCAAATAAAATCGACTTCAAGACTAACTTAATCAAAAGGGATAAGGAAGGACATTATATACTGTTAAAAGGAACCATTCACCAACAAGACATAACAATTATCAATATTTATGCACCAAATAATGGTGCTGCGACGTTCATAAAACAAATTCTCAAGTTCAAGAATCAAATAGACCACAACACAATAATTATGGGTGACTTCAACACACCTCTCTCACCATTTGACAGATCCTCCAAACAAAAGTTGAATAAAGAAACTATAGAACTCAATATCACAATCAACAACCTAGACTTAACTGACATATATAGAATATATCAACCATCATCAAGTGGATATACTTTTTTATCAGCAGCACATGGATCCTTCTCAAAAATAGACCATATATTATGCCATAGGGCAACCCTCAGTAAATATACAGGGGTGGAGATAATCCCATGCATTTTATCTGATCATAATGGAATGAAACTGGAAATCAATGATAAAAGAAGGAAGGAAAAATCCTACATCACATGGAAAATGAACAATATGTTACTGAATGATCAATGGGTTACAGAAGACATAAAGGAGGAAATCAAAAAATTCTTAGAGATAAACGAAAATACAGACACAACATATCGGAATCTATGGGACACAATGAAAGCAGTTTTAAGAGGGAAATTCATCGCCTGGAGGTCATTCCTCAAAAAAAGGAAAAACCAACAAATAAATGAGCTCACACTTCATCTCAAAGCCCTAGAAAAGGAAGAGCAAAACAACAGCAAATGTAGCAGAAGGCAAGAAATAATTAAAATCAGAGCGGAAATCAACAAAATTGAAACAAAAGAAACTATTGAAAAAATTAACAAAACTAAAACTTGGTTCTTTGAAAAAATAAACAAGATCGACAGACCCTTAGCCATGCTAACAAAGAGAAGAAGAGAGAGAACTCAAATTACTAACATACGGGATGAAAAAGGCAATATCACAACAGACGCTACAGAAATACAGAAGACAATTAGAAATTATTTTGAAAACCTATATTCCAATAAAATAGAAGATAGTGAAGACATCGATAAATTCCTTAAGTCATATGATTTGCCCAGACTGAGTCAGGAGGATACTCACAACTTAAACAGACCAATATCAATAGATGAAATAGAAGAAGCAATCAAAAGACTTCCAACCAAGAAAAGCCCAGGACCGGATGGGTATACAGCGGAGTTTTACAAAACCTTTAAGGAAGAATTAATACCAATACTTTTCAAGCTATTTCAGGAAATAGAAAAAGAGGGAGCTCTGCCAAATTCATTCTATGAGGCCAACATCACCCTGATTCCGAAACCAGACGAAGACACCTCAAAGAAAGAAAACTACAGACCAATATCTCTGATGAACCTAGATGCAAAAATCCTCAATAAAATTCTGGCGAATTGGATACAAAGGCACATCAAAAAAATTGTGCACCATGATCAAGTAGGATTCATCCCTGGGATGCAAGGATGGTTCAATATACGGAAATCAATAAATGTTATTCACCACATCAATAGACTTAAAGATAAGAACCATATGATCATCTCAATAGACGCAGAAAAAGCATTCGACAAAGTACAGCATCCCTTTATGTTCAAAACATTAGAAAAACTAGGGATAACAGGAACTTACCTCAACATTGTAAAAGCTATCTATGCTAAGCCTCAGGCTAGCATCATTCTGAATGGAGAAAAATTGAAGGCATTCCCCCTAAAATCTGGAACAAGACAGGGATGCCCTCTATCACCACTTCTATTCAATATAGTTCTCGAAACACTGGCCAGAGCAATTAGACAGACGAAAGAAATTGAAGGCATAAAAATAGGAAAGGAAGAACTTAAATTATCACTATTTGCGGATGACATGATTCTATACCTAGAAGACCCAAAAGGGTCTACAAAAAAACTACTAGAACTAATAAATGAATTCAGCAAAGTGGAAGGATATAAAATCAACACGCATAAATCAAAGGCATTTCTGTATATCAGCGACAAAACTTCTGAAACGGAAATGAGGAAAAACACTCCATTCACAATATCCTCAAAAAAAAAAAAAATACTTGGGAATCAACCTAACAAAAGAGGTGAAGGATTTATACAATGAAAACTACAAAACCCTAAAAAGAGAAGTAGAAGAAGATCTTAGAAGATGGAAAAATATACCCTGTTCATGGATAGGCAGAACAAACATCATCAAAATGGCGATATTACCAAAAGTTCTCTATAGGTTTAATGCAATGCCAATCAAAATCCCAATGGCATTTCTTGTAGAAATAGATAAAGCAATCATGAAATTCATATGGAAAAATAAAAGACCCAGAATAGCAAAAGCAATTCTAAGCAGGAAGTGTGAATCAGGCGGTATAGCGATACCAGACTTCAAACTATACTACACAGCAATAGTAACAAAAACAGCATGGTACTGGTACCAAAACAGGCGAGTGGACCAATGGTACAGAATAGAGGACACAGAGACTAATCCACAAAGCTACAACTATCTTATATTTGATAAAGGAGCTAAAAGCATGCAATGGAGGAAGGATAGCATCTTCAACAAATGGTGTTGGGAAAACTGGAAATCCATATGCAACAAAATGAAACTGAATCCCCTCCTCTCGCCATGCACAAAAGTTAACTCAAAGTGGATCAAGGACCTAGATATCAAATCAGAGACTCTGCGTCTGATAGAAGAAAAAGTTGGCTCCGATCTACATATTGTGGGGTCGGGCTCCAAATTCCTTCATAGGACACCCATAGCACAAAAGTTAATAACAAGAATCAACAAATGGGACTTACTTAAACTGAAAAGTTTTTTCTCAGCAAGAGAAACAATAAGAGAGGTAAATAGGGAGCCTACATCATGGGAACAAATTTTTACTCCTCACACTTCAGATAGAGCCCTAATATCCAGAGTATACAAAGAACTCAAAAAATTAAACAATAAGAAAACAAATAACCCAATCAACAAATGGGCCAAAGACCTGAACAGACACTTCTCAGAGGAGGACATACAATCAATCAACAAGTACATGAAAAAATGCTCACCATCACTAGCAGTCAGAGAAATGCAAATCAAAACCACCCTAAGATACCATCTCACTCCAGTAAGATTGGCAGCCATTATGAAGTCAAACAACAACAAGTGCTGGAGAGGATGTGGGGAAAAGGGTACTCTGGTACATTGCTGGTGGGACTGCAAACTGGTGCGGCCAATTTGGAAAGCAGTATGGAGATTCCTGGGAAAGCTGGGAATGGAACCACCATTTGACCCAGCTATTGCCCTTCTCGGACTATTCCCTGAAGACCTTAAAAGAGTGTACTACAGGGATACTGCTACATCAATGTTCATAGTAGCACAATTCACAATTGCTAGACTGTGGAACCAACCCAGATGCCCTTCAATAGATGAATGGATAAAAAAAATGTGGCATTTATACACAATGGAGTATTATACAGCACTAAAAATGACAAAATCATGGAATTTGCAGGGAAATGGATGGCACTAGAGCAGATTATGCTTAGTGAAGCTAGCCAATCCCTAAAAAACAAATACCAAATGTCTTCTTTGATATAAGGAGAGCAACTAAGAACAAAGCAGGGAGGAAGAGCAGGAAGAAAAGATTAACATTAAACAGATACATGAGGTGGGAGGGAAAGGGAGAGAAAAGGGAAATTGCATGGTAATGGAGGGAGACCCGCATGGTTATACAAAATTACATACAAGAGGTTGTGAGGGGAATGGGAAAATAAACAAGGAGAGAAATGAATTACAGTAGATGGGGTAGAGAGAGAAGATGGGAGGGGAGGGGAGGGGGGATAGTAGAGGATAGGAAAGGTAGCAGAATACAACAGTTACTAATAGGACATTATGTAAAAATGTGGATGTGTAACCGACGTGATTCTGCAATCTGTATTTGGGGTAAAATTGGGAGTTCAAAACCCACTTGAATCAAATGTATGAAATATGATATGTCAAGAGCTTTGTAATGTTTTGAACAACCAATAAAAAAAAAAGAAAAAAAAGAGGCAGGTGTAACTAAGAAAAAATGCTGAAAGAGAGGAATATTTTCAACATTGTACATTTATTTAAAATAACATAAAATAACATTTTATAGTATGTAGTATAATGTAAACACTATAGAACTTGAATAATAAAACATTCCACTAAGAAAGAAATGTTGCTCAAGATTTTTATGTCCACCATTCCCATGTCAGAGTCCCTCATTTGTGCCACAAAGGCAAGGTGGCAGGGAATCATAATCTGTATACATGCTACATTCATCACAGCACTGGAGGGCAGGAGAAGTCTCGGTGATGCCTTTAGGTGGGTTTCCCTTACTCTGGAACTTGTTTGAACAGCATTCCTTTGCAGCTCTTAAGAAAAAACAAACACAAAACATGGCCTTAGAATTTTCCTTTACAGTGTATTTCTTGCAATTATCAGGGGTATCTGGGAGGTTCAGAGTTGGAGCCAGTCACATACATGACACCAGCCCTAGATGAACACTCTCTGGGCCCTGTGCCGAGTGCCTATCTCATCCTTTCCTCTCCTACAACTATTATACATGCAAAATGTAGCTCTTAACCTCACACAGGAAGAGACCAGGGCAGCATGGAATGATCAATCAAGCAGAGCCCCGGGTGTCCCATCTGAGGGGCGCTTACTCAACCCATGTGACTCACTTCAGTGCCTTGAAGAGTTTGACGTAAAGACAGAGGACCAGTCCTATCAGCATGAGCATGGCCGCCAGGATCCCGCTACCAATGGCGAACATAATTATCGTACGGAGGTCAAAAGACTTAAACATACCTGGGCAGAGAAGTGTAGGCAAGCAGTGAGGGTGGCTTCCCTCCCACATGCCCTCAGCAACCTCCACACACTTCCCTCAGGAGAGGAGGAACAGACCCAAACACAGATCCTCTGTGTGTAAACCTTGAGGGACTCTTCCCAGAGAGGCTGAGGCTGGCCAGGGGTGGGTAAGAGGGTTTACTTCTGTATGAAAAGAGCTGAGATTCAAAACCCAGACAGAAGGAGTAGAAGGACAGACAGCCAGTGGACAGACTCTTTGCCTCTCATAGGTTATGGTGGCCCTTAATTAACAATCAGGCCTGCAGTGGAGCTAATGGCTTTGTGCTTGGGCCTCTGAACTGTTCTCATTCACAGCCAGAACTAACCTCTCATTGTACATTGGATCTAGAGGTTTCCCATGGGAATGACTGTTTCACAATATTATTGTTCTGACAATACTGAGAATCTGCAAATCCATTTTGTAAATAATGCATGTTTGAGGGGAAAAGTTTTTCCATTCTTCTACTGAAAACTGCCTTTATTCCTTCTAAATTCTAAATTGTAAATCCTCCCAATAAATCTAATTTGGAATAATCAATGTGTTTAACCTGTCTTTCTGAAACTGTGAAAAAGTAATCCCTAAGATATAAAAACAATCTGACTACCAAAGCATACTCACTACCTTCTGAGTCTTCTTGGATGGATGAAGTCTGGCAGTAAAAACAAAATTACAATTAAAATACATTTTATGAAACAGGACATCTTTATCAGGAACTTCAGAAACCTTTAATTTAATAAAGCAGACTCTAATTATTAAGATCCAGGATTGAAGAACTCACTTTGAGAAGTGTAATCTTCCACCAGAGTTGGCAGAATGGATAGCCACTGTCAGTGAGGACACAGGCTATCTGACATCAACCCTCTAGACAGCAGTTCTTCTTTCATGAAGTTCTTAATTCCATTCTATGCTCAGATATAGCTTAGTACCAATGGAAACGGAATCACCCAAACACTGTCTTACATCATGGGACTCACAATCTTCTCTTTTCAGATTTTGTTTCCATCAGATAAACTTAACTTCTGATTGCTAATCCAAAGCAAATCTGGATAAAATAAAAGGGAAGTAATGTGGAGAGAATAATATCTAAAAATGCTCATGAATCTAAAAGGTCAATTATAGAAAACTGTTTAGACTTTATATTTTAGCCACCCTGTGAAATAGTATGTAGCCATTTAACAGGATTCAGATATAGGTTCATTGGTATCATACCGTGCTTTTTAGACAAGATAAAAAGGCTCAAAGTAATTTGAGTAGGCTACCCACTTTATTCAGGATTCTATAATTTCAAGGTACTTTGATCCAGCAAAGGCACGGAATTATTTTAACTACAACTTCCTTACTGCTCTAGCTACAAACTGGATGAGATCAAGAACAGCACAGTAGATGTCAACAAAAATGGTGGCATAAGAACTTCCACAAAGTCGTTCCATAAAACAAATACAAGTCAAGCAATATTTTTTTAAGAACAATTTTTTCTTAACTCTTGAAATCAACTAAAGCCTTGCAGCATTCCAAAAAGCATTAATTCAAGAGAAACAACCAAATATCAGTATAAATAGCAAACCCTGTGGCATTGTCCCATCACTTGCTCTTTAGCTCCATAGTAACCTTGAAATAACAGCCTATGTTCCAGAGCAGCTACCAGAGAAACAGAACAAAGGTGGAGCTCTTTCAAGTCCTCATTAACAAATAACTCTCTCATTGTTTGAACTTTTTGCTGGTTACCTTTAAGACCACATTTGCAAAGCTGACCTGACCTGAAGATCACCCAGTGTAATAATCCTTCTCCCAACAGAACTCCAGCAAAAACTATTCCAGGCAATTTTCTTTTAACTTCCTGCCTAACGTAGTGGATAACATTTGGGGCAAATGATAGATTGGCCAAAAAAGCTTACAGGAAAACCTGGGGAAACATTATGTCCCCAAATCCCAAAACTGCAGGAATTTTGAAAAGCTCTAACGTGTTCCCAGAAGTCTAGGAGATCATGCACATGTGTAAGGCTGTATGCATGTCCAGGACTGTGAGCAGGCTCAAGGTTAAGTCCAAAGCTATATCCTCGAGCTGACCTTGAGGCTCTTCCCAAGCAGGAAGAAAAGGCCAAGGAAGAGTTTTCAACTGCTTGGCTGAGCTTTGAAGGCATGCCTCACATGCAAACAAAGCCACTCAACAATGACTAGGGTATTCCATTTTTGCAGACATTTAAAGAAATATTTGCCCATTTGTTAGGAGACCACTAAGCTAATCAGTAGATTTTTCAGTGTCCACATATGACAAAGAATACAGACTTTACAGAACTATTCGAGAGGAAAAAAAAAAAAAAACAGTAAACAACAACTACACAACTATACTAAGCAACAGAAACAGCAAACCCTAGAGAGAGGAAAGAATCTGATTTCCAAAGATGCCATGAAATATAAATATAAATATAAATATATATTTTTTGGCAGGAGGGTACCAGGTATTTTGCATTTTATTTAGATAGGGTCTCACTGAGTTGCTTAACACCTCACTTTTGCTGAAGCTAGCTTTGAACTCACAATCCTACTGCCTCAGCCTCCCGAGTCGCTGGGATTATAGGCCACTGCACCTGGCTCCATGATATATTATTTTAAATGTCTAAATTTTAGAAAGACTTAAGATATATAAAGAAACAAGAAAGTGTGGCCCACAAAAAGGGATAAACAATGAAAACTTCAGTGAACTTAAAGATATATTGAGATTACCCAAACTGAAGAACAAATCTAAATAATAAATAAAATAATGGATAAAAATTAACACAGGACTTTCAGTTTCTGTTCCCACTTGTAAAGAGCTTGGGAACTGTTACTATCATCCTCACAACAAGAGAAATGCTGAACAAACTGAAAAATCAGCAACTCTGCAGAAGTCAACCAGAGAATTCAAGCAGGGCAAAAGGCATCACTAATAATAATAATAATAATAATAATAATAATAATAATAATAATAAATAAATAAATAAAAAGGAATAAAATGGGTAGACAGATGAATAAAAAGCACTACAGCTTACCAGGAACAGAATCCACCATCAGAGCCAGCAACTGGTAGGAATATTTAAATGGTAATTAATGTCTTACTGGAGGCTGAATGAGAACTATTTTGAGAGATTAAAACTCCCTGAGGCCCAATTTTTGTTTTGGTTGGGACGGGGGTACATTTTCATGAGATTTGCCTCTAGGACTTCAACCAGGTTCTTATAGAGACAATTACAGAAAAATCTCCTTGTGGCTTTGGTTTCCAGACAGTGCAGTTTCCAATAGGCCTCCTTCTGATGCTACCCCAGCAGTTGGGTAGGAGGGTATCTCATTACCAACAGGGTAAGGATGGAAATCTCAATTCCCCAAGGGTCTCTACTGATACCACATGGATGGAGAATTATTACCACCCAGGGTTGAGTCTCAGCTCTACTGAGACTTCTCTGACACCATCCAGGCATGGAAGAGTAGTTTGAGACACCATTTTACAGTCTGGTGAGAATACAGTCTGGTGAAGTCTACACCCTACATTCAGTCTTTTCTAGTGGGATTGGAGTCTGGCCACAGTTTACCTTGTGTTTGTCAGAATGCAGCAGAAACTTCGTAAAAGTTTTCTGTCTTGCTAGGCTGCCCATTTCCTGGTCCTTTGGTTAAACAGAGTATGGTTTTGTTGGAGACTTTTGCCTGAACTCACTGGTGTTTCCAAGTTGCAGGCACCTTCAGCCCCAAATGTGGAAATATAAGGCAAAAACAAAACCCAGGGAATTCACCACCATGACATTCCTTGGATTCTCAAGGTCTCTAACTAGTCAGAATTCTTCTACTTGTCTGAAACATATGCTCTTTTATATATAATGTCCAAGGTTTTAGTTTCACATAGAATAAGGAAAAGTACATCTTCTCAAAATGGAAATCACCCATATAAGAGATTTTGAAGTCAATTCTTTGCTTATTGGCCACAACCACTGTACTAACCCTACTCTTGCCTAAGCCTGAGAGTGAGTGCCTCCTTAAAATTTGCCCCCTAGATCCTTCACATATCATCCTGTCTACAACTCAACACAACTTACCTTTCAGCCTCATGGCCTGCATTTCCCCACACCCCATCCTTGGCTAAAGGGCCCTCCAGGTGTCCTCTCCTTTATCTGTTTCAACAAACACCAACTTTGTGAGACTTCTTGCAAATGCTACCTCCCCCGTGAAGCTTCACTGATTCCTATCTCTCCCCCTCTGGCATTAATTGCTTCTTCTTTCCTTCCTCCCTTTCTTTTCGTTTAGAGACAGTGTCTGGGTTGCTTAGCTCCTTGTTTTTGCTGAGACTTGCTTTGAACTCACAAGCCTCCTGCCTCAGCCTCCCAAGCCACTGGGATTACAGGTGTGCACCACTATGCCCAGCTGAAAAAACTTAATTTTTTTTTTGTCTTAAGGATTTCCAGTGCCTGCTTTATCTAGCTGACTAGACATTTGTCCTGAGTACAAGAATCTACTGAACCTGAGTTGAAATAGATGTGACTTTTTTTCCCATTCAAAAATGTTTCATTTTTCTAAGTTTCTCTCAATTCCTTCCCACTGAGGCAGGGATATAGCCTTGAATGGGCCTGGATATCACTAAGGAGCCAGGCTTGCTACTATGCAATTGACCATTTCATTTCCCAAATTCCCTCTATTCCTGTGGCTACTTGGTTGCTCTGTGAGTTACCTGTAAGTTCCAGGGGTTACTGGCTGCATTGGAAGTTTGCTTACTCAAAGTGTTTGTGAGTGCCATTAGGGCAGGAACTCTGGATCCACATAGGTCATTAGGTGCTGGCACATATGAGCAATTACTCAAACCTCAATTTTGTTAATCTGGAACGACTTTCTCCACCTGAACCTCTAAATTCAGACAGAGCAGTAAACTCAGACATGGCAGTAAACCTTGACTAATATTATTTCATTTATACCCTGCTTATAAGTAACCAGCATTAAACTATCCATCTTTCTGAGTTGAAATTGAGACAAACAGAAGGCAATAGCTCACAACCAATTCTAATAGAACACAATGTTTTGAAATTGTGAGTTTTGTGGTTTACAGTCTATCTCTTGAACCAGACTAACTGAAACCAATTCCTGACCCTTTTTCTTACTGTGTGGCTTTGGGCAGGTTTTTAACCTCCCTATGCTGGTGTTTCCTGCTTACAATTGCTTTCACTAATAAAATGGGGATGCTAACAGTATTAGCTACCCCACAGGGTCTCTCTGTAACGGTTAAATATCTGTAAGATCCAGAGCTGGACACAAACATCATCACTCAACAAATACTAGCCATTATCACCATCATTGTGATGTGGTAGTTCCTGTCACCTATAGAACAGCTGAATTCTTTTCCTAAATGTTTCCTCACACTGGGGAATTCTTTCTTCCTTTGTAGATGGAAGCCTCTACTCAAAGTGAGAGGTGATCTGATGCTTTAATTTCTTATCCAGACACAGTTCTCGTTGGGACTGAATTGTAGGGTTAGGGTTTTGTGGTTCTCTCCCAGCTCATGCCTCCTAGGCTGGCCTTATAGCTTGATTTGCCAGCTTTGGACCACAGTTAGCACTGAGTTGACCTTTCCAATGAGTGGGGCCCCACCGCCCAGGTGGAACCCCATACAGTCATTTGGCTACACAAACTGTATTTAACTCAACAAAAAATAGTCCACCAAGGATTGAGTTCTCCTTGGAATCTTTGGGAAGAAAAGCATTTATGATTTCTCCAAATAGAATCCATAGAAGAGAAGAGAATATATCAGGGGCTGAGGAAAGATGAATTTAGTAAAAGAATCTTTAACTGCATTTTTAAAAACACTTGGTAATAAAACATGTAATTTGTAATCACATTATTGTTCCTATAAAGGAACAATAATTTTTGTTTTTATGTCTTGTTTTTGGCCAAAAAGAATACAGTGATTAAAGAAAAGGATCTTTTATTATTATTTTGTTTGTTTTTGAGCTGCAGATTGAACCCAGGGCCTTATGCATACAAGACAAGCACTCTATCAACTGAGCTATATATCCCAGCCCCGTTTTATTATTTTTTTACTCAAAAAATTTTTTTTCATTTTTTTAGGTACTGAGTATTTAACCCAGGGGCACTCAGTCACTGATCCACAACCCTACCACATCCCCAGTTCCCCCTACACACACACACACACACACACACACACACACACACACACACTTTTTTTGAGAAAGGGTCTTGATAAGTTTCTGAGGGTTTTGCTAAATTGCTGAGGCTGGCTTTGAACTTGCAAACCTCCTGCCTCAGCCTCCCAAGTTTCTGGGACTACAGGATGCACCACCATGCCCAGCTACTTAAAAATAATAGTTATCATAAGAATAATACATGTGATAGAAAAAATAGGAAGCAAAGACAATTTTTTAAAAATTCTATAAACTTATTCACTCATAGACAATGTTATTTTCCTTTCTCCTTCCAGATTTTAAAAATACTTCCATATTTTTTAATGTCAGATTATACTTCACATTCTTCAAATAGATTTTCTTCATATATACATCACAGGTATCTTTCCTATAGCTATCTATGCCTCAGTTGAAAAAGTAACTGCAGAGTAATTCTTTGCAAATGTTTACCATAATTTGCATAATCTGCAAAAATATCTCTAATACTTTTATAAGCATGCCATAATTAACATTCTTATATACATGTTTATGCATATATTCTATTATTTTATAAAGATAAATTCCTAGAGTTGCCAGATAAAATGCCATATTTATATATACTGCCTTACTATCCTAAAGAGATATGATATTTGCATTACATCATCTTCCACTAAGAGTCTATGAGAGGGGCTGCAGTGGTGGCTCAGTGGTAAAGCGTTTGCCTAGTAAGGCACTGGATTCAATCCTCAGTACCACATAAAAACAAATAAATGAAACAAAAGGTATTGTGTCCATCTATTACTTAAAAAATAATTTTTAAAGAAGAATGTATGAGAGCAAATACTTCTCCAGTGTTCAGCACTGATTCTTTATTTTTGTTTTGTGGTGCTGGAGATCAAACCTAGGGCTTCACACATTCTAGGGAAGTGCTTCTACCACTGAGCTATATCCCAACCCTAAAATGTTAGCTTTTTTATGTGGTGGTAATAGGGATCAAAACCAGGGCCTCACACATGCTAAGCTAGACACCCCAGCCAGGTTATTAAAAAAAAAAAATCTTTGAAATAAGGACTTAATTGATCTCATTGAAAACTCTGGTCATTTTTCTTCCTATCAAATTTATTTGCAGAACATGGCAAAATTAAAAGGGGCTCTGGGTGAGATGGTGCACTCCTGTAATCCCAATGGCTTATGAGGCTGAGACAGGAGGATGATGAGTTCAAAGCCAGCCTCAGCAAAAACAAAGTGCTAAGCAGATCAGTAAGACCCTGTCTCTAAATAAAATACAAAATAGGGCTGTGGATGTGGCTCAGTGGTCAAGTGCCTCTGAGTTCAATCCCCAGAATCAAAAAAAAATTAAAAGGGGCAATGAGACAAGGCTTCTTTTGACCTCTATCTTGACAAATGGATAGGCAGCTTTGAGTGTAGTTGTTTTTATAATGCTGGTCTCTCACAATAATCTGGTTAGGTTCCAGCTGACTTCCAGGGAAACTTATCAATTCCAGCTACAAATAGATCTATGTGGGAACACAGCAGCTGCATGACTGATCTACATCAGTAGTTCCAGGAGACCAAGCATTCCCTTTTTTCTGCACTCACTCACATGTTAATCAACATTAGATCTAGAGCATTTTTTTCTGCACTCACATGTTAATCAGCATTGATCTAGAGCTCGTTGCTAGCGCATCTCAGCACTAGTACATGATAGGCACTGTGTACCTGTGGAATTTATAATAGCAGGGTTTGCCCTGCTGTTTATTCAGATCATAAATACTTTTTAAATCTTCTCTGCTCCTCTCCAAGATTGCATATACAAGAAGATATGTGTATATAAGAGGTTGCAGGTCAAAAGGCTGATGTAAGTGAAGGTAGGGTAGCGTAGCACTGTTAAGCACACATAATTAATTCAAGGCCCCAGTTATTCTACCAGCTAAGGCACAACAATCCACTTCTAGGTGCATATAATTATGTTACTTACATAGACAGTGAAAGGGAGATTAGGCAAAGGTGCCAAAATCCTTATTTCACACTCAAAAACAAAATGGGTGACTGATGGCAACATGAGTTGTGGGACATTTTGTTGCTAAGCAGTCAAAAGACTGAAGCTGAGTAGTTTAATATTCTGAAGTTCTATTCTGAGGCTGAGGGCAGGGCAGGGAGCTCATACTTCCTCAGAACCACAGAGGCCATGGGGACGTATGATATAACTCCAGGGGAGAAAGGTATTGTATAAGAAATGGCCTTGTAGCAGCTCCTTACAAGCCTCTTCTCCTGCCTTGATCCTGGAGGATCATCAAGCCTCGGTTAGTTATAATTCAGCCTTTGCTTAGCATGGCTTATATGGAAAGATGCAAGCTTAGTGGGATTCAGTGGTGGGCCCATTCCCAACACACTCTTGGTACTGGCCGTCATGGGTGGGGATTCTGGTAGACATATCCTGACCTCAGGGGCTTGTACACAAGAATTTTCCTGGGGCGTGCTTTCACCTTTGTGAAGGGTGAAGGAAGGAGCACTGGTGAACCCATGAACTACAAAGCAGCTGCAGTAAAGGACCCATCAATTACCTGAGAGTCCTGGAGCAAGGTAGAGCCTTCGGAGATATCCCACTGAAACGCTTCTTTTGCTGTATCACAGGTATTGGCTTTGCTACTGTAGCACCGGCTGTAGACCCAACTGGGAACGCATTCTCCAGTTCAACCCAGCAGGGTTACTGGGCATTAGAAAGGGCTTTCACCTTGAGATCCCATCTACACCTGCTTCTAAGATCCAAAGAGCCAATGAGAGATTCTTCGGTCTTTTTCTTCTGCTCTAAAAGTACTTACTGACTTGAGAGTAAAATCCAGACTCATTATCTGATCTACAGAGATCCTCAGAATCTGACCCTTTGCCACCCCTTTTCCACCATCACTCCCACATCGCTTCCTCTCACCAACACCCATTTTCCCTATTGTGCAGACACACTCAGCTGCTTCTTGCCTCGGGCCTTAGCCCCTTGCCCATTTCTTTGCCTAAAATGCACCCCCCCCCCATAAAGTGCCTTACTCTTATGTTTTTGCTAAAATTTGTCAAGATGCACTCTTTGCCCACATGGAGCCTCCACCTACAAGGCAGTCCCTATCTATCCTATCACCTTTTTAAAATTATATTTTAAAAAGCTATTGTGTTTTTTAGTGCTTACCATGTCTCCACCTAGAATGTAAATACCATGAGTAGACACTGTCTCTCTTATTCATTTTGATATTCCCATTCCCTAGAACATTTTAGAAATTTGATGGAAAAGCATATATATGAAGTTAACAATTATGAAGTTTTTTTTCATTATGTTTACTTTCTGATTTTCCTACAATAAATGTGTTTTTCTTAAAATGAGTTAGTTTCAGGTAAAAATAAAAGGCTTTTGTTCCATTTATATGAAAAGATTACAAATCAGAAATCATGTTTTATTATGAACCACAGGGTTTTTGTTGTTGTTTTGTACAATGCATTTAAATGCTTCTAGTACAATCATCTTCCTTCAGTCTCAATACACTGCTCTTCAGCGGACTACAGAGAAATCATAACTGCTATTCTCCCCAGGTCTCCAAATGAGGGGAAACATTGCTGGTGAAATTGACTTACATGACTTGGTGAGGACTATATGGAAGGCATACTCCTATTCACTGTGGGAGCTCTTAATATGATGGATTATGTTAATTGGCTTTTGTTGAAGCAGGAACATAATATCTCACATACCTTGAATAAATCCCACTTGATCCTTATGTATAGTATTTTGTATACATTTTTTACTTCAACTTGATATTCTGTTGAATTTTTCCATCTGTGTTCAGGAGATATATTGGCCTGAATGCTTTCATTGTTCTAATGTCTTTACCTTGTTTGGGAACTAGCATAATGTTGGCTCATGAAATGAATTAAGAAGTGTTCCCTCTCTAATTTCTGGAAGGGACTGTATAAAATTATATTATCATTTCTTTCTTACATGTTTGGAAAAACATCAGTGAATCCACCGGGTCTTTTTTGAAAGGTTATTGATTTGGTGTAATGGATATACATCAGGCATGGTGGCTAGTGCCTACAATCCCAGCTACTCAAGAGGCTAAGGCAAGAGGATCTCAGGTTCAAGGCCAGCCTAGGCAACACAGGATCATGTCTCAAAACTGTGAGAGTGTGTGTGTGTGTGTGTTTATATAGATTATTTATTTCTCCTAAGTTTTGGTATACTATATCCTTGAATTAGTCAATTTCATCTTTCTCAAATTTTGTGTACATAGTTGTTCATTAATATTACTTTGCTAACTTTTTTTTGATATTCATGAAATCAGTACTATTAGTCCCTTTTAAGAGTTTTTAATACTAATCTGTCTTTTTTTCTTAGCCAGACTACAGGCTTATCCATTTTTATTCTTTTCAAAGAACCATCTTTTGTATTTCTATTGATTTCCTAATTTTACTCTTCTGCTTGCCTTAGGTCTATATTGCTCTTCTTTCTCTAGCTTCCTATGCTAGAAGCTTAACTGATTTTAGGTCTGATTTTCTGTTCATTTAATGCTATCAGTTTTCTTCCAAGTAATGCCATTACTGCATCATGCAAACCTCAAGTTGTAATTTTTAGTTCAAAATATTAATTTCTCTTGAAACTTCTTTGAACCATGTGTTATTTACAAGTATGTTGTTTAATCTTTTATGTAGCTTAAGCCAGCCATCTTTCTGTTATTGAATTCTAATTTAATGTCATTGGAATCTGAGAACCTAGTTAGTATAATTACTTCTAAAATTGTTGAGGTGTTTCATGGTCTGGAATATGTTCCACCTTGGCAAACGTTCCATGTGAGTTTGAGAAAGCATTCTATAAATGTTCTTTAGGTCCAGTGGACAGTAGTACTGTTCAGTTCAATTATATCCTGATTTTCTGTCTGATTGACCTGTCAATTACTGATACAAGATATCGAAGTTTGTAACCATAATAATGCATTTGTCAACCTCTTTTTTACAATTCTCCATATATTTTTTGCTTCGCATTATGATGGGTCATTATGTGCATAGAATTATGAATTTTATTTTGCCTTCATTTATTCCTTCTTTGATGCTATTCCTGTGTGTTGATTTCAGTTCCTGATATCAAGTTCCTTCTCTCCAAGAAATTTATTTTCCCCTTTCTTATGAGGAAGCTCTACCAGTAACAAATTCTCTCAGATTTGGATAGGTCTTATTTCTCCTTCACTTTTAAGGGATAATCAGAAATTCTAGACAGATTCCAGACTTGATGTTCAAAACTATAAATATTTCATTCTGTTCTCTTATTGTTTGCAGTTTCTAATGAGAAATCTGTAATTCTTATTCTTTTTCCTCTCTGTATTTCTTCTTGAGGCCTCTTTCAATGACTTTTGGACTTTGATTGTCTGAAACTTGTTATATGTGTAAACATAGATATTTTTTAGTTATATTGCTTGATATTCTGACATCCCTGCATCTGTGGCTTGGTGACCATCATTAGTTTTGGAAAATTCCTAGCCAATATTATTTAACATTTCTTTTTCTTCTGATAGTCTTACCTCCATGTTACAAGTTTCCTAGTTCCTAGGTGTTGTTTTCATTCTCTATTTTCTTTGCTTTCCAGCTGAGGAAGTTTATATTGACCTATCTTCAAGCTCACTGATTTTCTCCCTTAGCTTATCCAGCCTCTTGATAAATCCACCAAAGGCATTCTTCACTTCTGTCACAGTGCTTTTGACATCACGTCTCTTTAAATTATCTGTAGAGTTATTGCTGCAGTCTGGCTGGGCACAAAATCACGAGCCACTCAAACAGGAACAAACTTTTTTTTTTGAAACTCCCCGCCAATGCCCCGTATGCTCCTGGGGAAAAAATGCCAACCGACCCATGGTTCTCCCGGGCGGGCAACAGGAAATCCCTCCTCCGGAATTCCCTCCTACCGCACTTCCCCAACCAATGGGAACTCTCCAGGAGTCCCGTAGCAGGCCAAGGTGGACAGCAGGGGTCTAATATCCACATGAATGCAGATCTTAACATAATCATATCATCTCAATGGCTTGCTGTCTGTCACCTTTCAACCAAAAATGCCATGCATCACACTACTTGGCTGTGGCTCTTAGCAAGTTATCATTCTTTGCTTGCATTACCCATCTGTTCTTGCATGCAACATACTTTCCCCATTAGATCCATTCTTACTTATATTCCCTATTTGATAATTGCTATGGTTTGGATGTAGTGTTCTTGAAAAACTCACTGAGACAATGCAAAAAAGGTTCAGAGGAGAAATGACCGGTTTGTGAGAGTGTTAACCTAATCAGTAAATTAATCCTGATAGGGATTAACTGATTGGTAACTTGAGTGGTAGGGTGTGGCTGAAGGAGGTGGGATTGGGGCATGGCTTTGGGATTTATATTTATATCTGACCTGTCTCTCTCTGCTTCCTAATCATGATTTGAGCTGCTATCCTCCACCATGATGTTCTGCCTCACCTTGAGCCCTGAGGAATGGAGCCTGCTGTCTATGAATTGAGACCTCTGAAACCATAAGCCTTCAAATAAGCTTTGCTCCTCTATAATTAATTATTCTGGTCAGGTCCTTTTAGTCACAGCAGCGAAAAAGTTGACTAAAATGATTCAAAAATCAATGTCATATCTACAAATTATTCTAATGCTTTTTTTTTTTTTAACCTTTTTAGCCTTCCTTAAGATACCTGGGATCACGCTTTATTTTTTGATGAAAAATATGATTTGGTGGAATGTATAGGACCTAAGGTCATCAGGCTTCTCATGTGAAGTTTATGTTGACCTGATAAGAAGTTAAACTGTGTTTAATGTTTTTGTAGTTGAAGGCATCAAAAGCTTCAGTTCCCTTTAGTATTATTACTTTGGTCTCCCCTATTCCCTAGAAACTCCTAGTAACATGAGGTCTTGCAACTCTCAATTGTAATCCACTGGAGACCTATCAATGTGGTGGTAAAGAACTGGGTAGAGGGGGTATTTCTATCAACTTACGAAAATCTGTTTATTCAGTAAGCAGAATCCCTCATCTGTCACCCTAAAAAGCACTTCTTTAGCCTTCCCTACCCTCCTATGAGACTGAAGGCTAGAAAGACCCTGAGTTGTCTAATTGCCCTTCCTCCAAATCACATAAGGTTCTAGTAGCTTCTCTTGAGGCCTTTGTTAAGGAGAAAGCTGTGGATAGTTCTTCAAAGTGGTTACTTCTTCCCTGCCGCTGAACAAAGCAAAAGGGGATGTGTCTCCTTTTCTGAAAACCTGGTGGAGCTCCTGGATATAAAACCCTGTAAAGTACACAGGTTTCCTACAAATGAGGTCCTAGGAATTTTTCTCACAAGAATTTTACTTGCCTCCAGCAATTCATAAATGATCTACCTTAAATGTTCCTACCACTCACTGCCTCAAAAAGAATTTTATTCCTGATAAGCTAATCTCAATTGTTATTTTCTGCATTTCCCTACATCTCTAGTTTTAGGGTGGCCATTTTTCCCTTAATTATCTGCTAGATTTTTTTAAAAAAGATATTGATTTTCTGTTTTTCAGCGAAATTTTTCTTTTTGTGAAGATAACTGTGATAACTTTTAAGATGTTCCATGTCAGAGCTGAAAGAGAAGTGTTCAGGTTTCCAAAAATTAGAAATACAGGCCACCCAATCAAAAGTATTTAGAATTTTAAATACAGTAAGAATGTATTATTACTTTGGTCTCCCCTATTCCCTAGAAACTCCTAGTAACATGAGACCAAAGAGTTTAAGAACCACTGTGTACAGGCACACTGTTAACAAACATATGATCCCTACCCACATTCTATATTAACATGTTATAATAAACTGCTCCTTAAAATGGTCAACCAAAAAAAAAAAAAACACAGTTTGTGATGCCAGTGGTGAGGTTCCATTTAAGTTGTTTATCCTTCATGTGAGAAAAATATTTTTAAAACCATTTACAATGCATGACAGAAATAATATGGTACATTAAAACTGAAGTGTAGGGCTGGAGATGTAGCTCACTGGGAGAGTATTTGCCTAGCATACAGCAGGCCTTGGGTTCCATCCCAAGCACCACATACATACACACACACAGAGGAAAGCCAAGGTCACCTGTGCATCAGCACAATGACTCTGACAATAAAAATAAGTGTAAGATACAATATCCTAGTTTCTCCTTTTTCTAGTCTTCTTACATTGTGATGTCCAAGTAACCTCTACCTCTGAAACCTTATCAATTTCATAAAACAAATCTGTACTTAACACTTCAGCAAGGCATAAAACACTTCCCTGGGCTGAGGATGTGACTCAAGCAGTAGCGCACGCGCCTGGCATGCGTGCGGCCCGGATTCGATCCTCAGCACCACATACAAACAAAGATGTTGTGTTTGCCGAACCCTAAAGAAAATAAAGATTTAAAAAAATTCTCTCTTTAAAAAACAACAACAACAAAAAACACTTCCCTAATGTCAATGATTGTTTCAGATGATTGAGAAAACAAAGGTAAGCATTATTTAATAAATTCCCAGACCACAAGAAAATTATAGTGTCTAAATATAGTCTGAGTGCAGCACAGAGGAACTGGTGATTAATTTTTGCAAAGTGAAGCACTATGCTTGGTACTGACTGATAAACAGGATTTTTCCTACTACCCAAAAGAGCATTCTAGGGCTTGGGATATAGCTCAGTTGGTAGAGTGCTTGCCTCACATGCACAAGGCCCTGGGGTCAATTCCCAGCATCACCCAAAAAAAAGCAACCTATATAGAAGAAAATTCATATGCAAATACAGAAGATATAAACAGGCAGGGTAAAAAGAGTTATGTATGCCATGTGCCATGCTAAAAAGTAAAGGTCATGGTAATTTAATCAGGAGCATCAAGCACCACAAGGGTCAGTTGGCAAAGCAAAGGGTGAAATGAAGGTGATGGGAATAAAGGGTAACTATGGGTGAAGAAAACTCCTGAAACTGCTCAGATGAAAGTAGAACTTGAAAACAAAGAGTTTAAAAAAAATTTCTGTAGGAACTAAAAAAAAAAAAAAAAAAACACATGGAATATATGGAAATGAAAGAAAATAAACATAAGGATATAAAAGAATATAAACATAAAAATGAAAATGGAGACAACAGTAGTCATTAATTTTCTGACTTGCAGTCTTTCATTCTTATTTAAGGAAGTTAAAATCCAGATAATATCGACCTTTGCTCATGAAACGAAAATTGGTGTTTCAGAGGAAGAGACTATATTCCTTTCAATGATCAATACTTGTTAACATGGATCAAAGACTTCTTATGATCCTAAGAAGACATATAGGACAAAAACACTGATGTACACAACCTGGAATGAATGTAGAATATTAATCTTTGCCACCATTAACCTTGGAATATTAATAATTAAGACCATCTAATTCCTTATATTATACATCTATCAGACATTTGGTATTGTTTCTCCCCTTCAATCCAAGCAAACCTGTTAAGTGACTAAATGTAGAAAATACATTACATTCATAATTTTTCTGGCACCATTCTACAAGTAAATAAAAGACAACAGTGCGATCTCTTCTCGTTATACATATACTGATATGTGAACCCAAAAACTTAAGAACAAAAGACTAAGAATGATTTTTCTATCAAATCATGAGGCCAAAATACGAAGAAAAATTAATGTGACCCAGAACAGAAATTCGATTTTCTACCAGAGTAACATAAACACAAGGGCGAAACCGGCATTCAAATTAAGAACACTGGCATTCAAATTGTCTTTGAATCTCGTTTACATTTTTTCCAAAATGAGCTGTGCAAAGAAAGGACAAGGAGGTCGCATGTACTTGGGATTACAAATATCAGGAAAAATCTAAATTCGCACATTTCTCCAACCAAACCCAATGGACCTTCTGGACCCTTAGATTTCTGCCACCGAGGGCGTCCCATCGGGGCGACCGGAAACCCGCGGCCCGGTAAGCCCCATCTCCGCCCCGACATTACCAGCGGCGCCTACAAGCCCCCACCTCGCACCTCCGCGACCCTCTCCACCGCCAGTGCGTGCCAGGCGGGGAGAAGCGGACAGAACCAACGCCCGAATCTGTCACCACCGCTCCCTACACGGGTGCCTGCGGCGCCATGCGCGCAGCTCAGACCACAGGGGAAAGGCCCCGGCGTCCACTCCAGAGGCTACTAGGACCGCAGCGGCTCCCGCAGGTCGCGGGGGGCGAGGAGTACACACCCGCAACCTGCAAAACTCCTCTGCACCGCAGACACTTCTCCCCGCCAACGTCGGAAAACCGACACCGGGCCTCGACCTCCAACTCTTCGCCTGAACCCGCTTCCGAAAGTCGCACGGCGGAGCGCATGCGTGCCTCGGCTTGCCAGGTCTCTAGACACTGGCAAGAGAAGCGGCGGCTCCGGGTTTGAAGAGAGACAGCCGGAAGTCGCTGAACGTCCGCACTCCACTCTGCACCGACCGAAACTCGAGCCCTGCAAGAGAGGTTCCGGGGCTGGTTGAGGCGGCGAAATGGAGACCGGGGCCGAGGACTCGGGAATGACCGGCCGCCCGACGCTGGCCTCTTCCTGGGATACCGCGAACGGGGTCCTGTCCCGGAGCCTCCTCCTCACCCGGGCTGGCGTCGGCGCCCAGGACTTCGACTGGGAGGAGCTGCTGGTGCCGCCTGCTTCGGGGTGCGCCGTGCCTCGGGGGAGCCGGGTCGTGGCGCTCGGCGACAGCCACGCTCCGGGGGAGACGAGCGGGGGACGCGGGGCGGGAGACCTGGGAGCGCTCGCAGGCGCATCCGCCTCGCCCGCTTGGAAACGAGGGGCAGCTCCTGGCCGCCCGAACGGCGCAGAAGTCGCCTAGAGCCCCGCGTGTGCGGGCGGGGAAGGGCGCGCGTGCGTCTGGCTGCGCAGAGCCGGCGAGTGCTGGACTGGCTGCGGCCAGCAGCAGGTCGGGGTCGGGGAGGGGCGCGGGCTGCGGGGCTGCGGCCCAGCCGCGTCCCTGAGCGGCGCGTCCCGAGGCCGCGGGGGTCCGGGGAGGGGCGCGGGCGGGTGCGAGCGCGACCGCGGAAACCGGGCGTCACGTGTGCCCCGACCTCCTCAGCCAGCCTCTGGTGAGCCTGAGCGCCGTGCCGGGCCCCCGGGGCAGGACGCCCTGCTTCCTCGACCTGCGGTGCGACCCCGGGGCCGGGGAAGAGATCCTCGCGGTGGGCGTCCTGAGCTCGGCGAGGAACATGGAGGTGTACGTGGGAGAGGAATACTGTGGCACCGGCCGGGGCCAGGGCGCCCGCACCGTCCCGGAGGGCAGGTCGGTGACTCCGCGCCGCGGCCCCTCGGCCCCTTTCCCGGGCGTGGGACGGTTCAGATTGCCTGACGTCGTGCCAGTCACCCGGGGAGGGAACCTAAAAGTGCACCGGTGGCAGAGACGGGGTCGCCTTGCCGCCTCTTAAAGGCAGCGCAGATCAGCCTAGTTGTTTTCATACCTGGAAACTTGGGGCTGGTTAGTGGAAGTGAATGGTGGGTCACAGCTGGTTAGTGGAAGAGTTTTGTTAGGAGAAGCCCTGACAAGTGCTCCTTGTCTCTCCTCTTCGCTCACAGGGTTGGCTTCCAGAGTTTCCCCCAAATTAATGACTCAGTCAGTCTGGAACACTGAGCTCATCCTCTAGGAAGCCCCTTACTAAGGGTGTGGGAATCTAAGACTGCCACAGCCGCCTAGTTGTTAACCGGTTATAAACGTGATCATTTGGGCCCCCCCCCCGTTTCCCCCCTTACAAAGATTCTGCTGCATCTTTTTTAATGTAACCGAAATTTAGAGCTTTCCTATGTCCAGTGCAAGTTGAAAATAATAGGTGTGTTCACTGAACTTTACAATATGGTCTGTGCTCCATGACTGTATTATCTCCTTCAGTTCTCTTGGCTAGGCTGAGAGGCCCCTGTGGTCCTTAAGGCAGTGCAGTGCATTCCGGAGCCCCAGCTCCTTGTGCCTCACCACGAAAACAGTCCCAGGGTGGAGTATTGTCCTAGAACAATTTATTTTTAATCATAACTAAAAAATTATTTTTTGTTTTTAGTGAACAGGAAAATATTATTTTCTACAAAAAACATCTAAAATTGGAAACTTCCACATATGCTTGTAAAATAAAGGTAAGCCATCATCAAATTTTAACTAATTTAAATCTTTATCAAGTTTGTTTTTGTTCTCTATATAATTAATTTTCTTTCCTTGAATACAGTTAATCCTATATTGTCCCTAGTTTTACTAAGACATAGTAAACATATAAAAGGTAATTACTTTGCTAAAAAATCATCAACCCTCTTGAAGATTTAATTCTTTTAGTCTATCACCAGTTATGGAAATATATTTTGTTAATAAGTGCTATATTTTGAGGTTTTGGGAAATTTATCTAGAACATTTTTTAATCTTTCTGTAAAACTGTGTTGCCAAAAAAATTACAAACAAAACTTTGGTCCTATGAATTAAAGAAGAAGGTAGTGAAAGGAGTTTCAGACAAGAGAACCAAGAAGTTAAAGGGTTTTGGACTGTTGGCTGCAGCATGAAGATTGTTAAGGTTTGCATTAGTGGTGATGTCAAAGTCTAGGAATCATGAGAAATACAGAGCCAGAATATTAACTCAGCTTTGTTGCTGTCACACTAGTCTGAGCAAGCTTCTTGGCTTGTTTGGACATACTTCGGGAGTAAAATTAGAGAACTGAAGAAAGAAAATTCTTGGGTTCTTTTTGACTCTGAAAAATCTATACTTATTATCACCACTTATGGGAAATTGTGAGACTTAGTTTTAGAATAAGGTAAAATTAGTGATTTTCTTTCATTGAAGAACAAAATAAACGTTCTTCAATCACAGAACTGATTAAAGTGATTCATTCATTCTGTGAATATTTGATGCCAGATACTATATGAGGCATTTAGGAATTACCAGTAGTAAAATAAATTGAAATACCTGTCCTCATGTTGCTTATATTTTACTGGGGCAAGACTGGTAATAAGCATGCTCAATGAGTGAAACAGATCCTATATTTGATGTTGAGAAAGTGTTTGGGTATAACAAAGCGGAAGGGGGAGAATAGGTTGGGATGTAAGATAAATGTAATGGGTGTTTCCCTGATTGTTGAAGACTGTCACATATTTGGTTACACACTTAAAAGAGTTTTTAGAGCATAGGTGTACATTTACCTATTGACACGTGGGTCTGTGTGTGTCGCTCTGGTGAACATTTTTTGTAACTGTGTATGGAAACGAAGGGTTGGTTCGTTCATGGAACCCCTGGGTTATGTATGAAAGTGTGTCCTGGGACAACAGCATATGGAAGGTTAAGATAAAAATAAAGTGTTCCTGATACAGACTTTTGAGCACTTCCTCAGGGATAGATACTGGATATTTTGACACATAAGCCATCTCTCATTTTACTGACTTGATTTTAGTTTTACCCTGTGTGAGCATTTGCCCAGGGTCACCCAGGCTGTTGAGCAGCAGAGTCATAATTTAAACCCAGATGTGTCTGATCCAAATCTCTTCCCTTTCATTTTACTACTCTGTTTTATGGACCACACATGGAGTACAGCTCAGTGGTAGAGCCCTTGCTCCACATGCTTGAAGCCCTGGGTTCCATGCCCAACACTGCAAAAAAAGAAAAAAAATTACAGGGATAGAACCAGAGGATTTAGACTGTAAGCTCTGATTTTTAACATTTCCTTACAGTTCTAAATCCTGAAAGACTGAATTGTGTCTATAATTTCAGTAAATACTGCTTGGGCCTCTAGACAGTTATATTTTGTATTAAATAATATTATACCAAACTGTGGCATGTTAAGATCTCAGACTGTTTATTTTTAATGCCTTAAATTAAGTAAAACTATATTTAATCTACTCAGACTTATTTTCTGTATATTAGTTTGAGAAGGATTTCTTGATTTAATTAGTTGATCTGAGCCTTATGTTAAAATAGAAATTTTTCTATCTATGACTATTCTAAAGATAACTTAAAAACATGCTTGAGATTAAGACTGTTAGATTCTTGAATATTTCACTCTTGATTTGGTAATACTAGGAAGTGACTTTAAATTATTGGTTTTAATACCTATATTTCCTGGACTTTTTTGTTTCATAATAGTTGCTGTCCTTTGGTGAAAAACAGTGTGTGTTCATCAGTAAGGTTGTGGTACACATGAAACCAGTTTCAGGAAATTCTTCACCAAGCTCTCCTGCTCTAGGATCAAGGATAGACCTTGACAAGGTCCAAACCATAATGGAGTCCATGGGGTCAAAGTTATCACCTGGAGCTCAGCAGCTAATGAACATGGTTAGGTTTCAACAGCAGGTAAGTAGAAATGTTTTTCTTTCCACATAGCAGTAAAAAATCATTTCAAAATGATGGCCTTTAATGAGGAAATGCAGTATTTGTTTTTTTTTTTAAAGCTTTTTTCTGTGATACTAGGGATTGAACCCAGGGACTTGGGCATACTAGGCAAGCACTCTAGTGCTGGACTACCTCCCTGGCCCTTCTTATTCTATTTTAGATGGGGTTTTGCTTAGTTGTTTAGGCTGTGCTTGAACTTGCAATCTTTCTGTCTCAGCCTCCAAAATAGCTGGAATTACAGGTGTGCACCACTGCACCCAGCTAAATTTTTAATTTTTATTATTGATTTAACTGTCATCTGTTCATAGTTTGCAAAAGGCATATTTTGTAGACTTACCCTCATATAAAAAGTTTTGACTGGACAGCTTCACCATTTTTCATTAATTCATTCACCCATCATTCAGCAAGTAGCAACTTTGATGAATTATGGGCTGGTTTGAGCACTTTCTAGGATGCAAAAATGATCAATTGGTGTATAGCCTGTTTTTAAGGATTTTTACAGGCTAGATCATATGAGTGGTCTCATACAGAAATAAATTTTCTCTGATGACTGAGTAAAGCTCCTTTGAGCTAAAAGAATGTTGTCTAATGTTAAAATATTAGAAATATAACCCATCTTATTCCAGGAATATTTTAAGACTTATTCAAAACTTGGAATAGAACAAGAAAAAATGACAATAGGCTAGCATTTCTCTATATAGAGCCTTTTCCAAAGTGCATTTCTGTAAGATATGTTGGATGGGTACTTGCTATCACAGGTGCCTCTGCCTCCACTTCCCTGGCCCTCATTATCCCCTTTCCTGCCTGATTTTTTCCCTGAAGTATCTATCACCACCTACATCCCATGATGTATTTCCTCCTCCTCTCTCCTCATCCCTCCTGTCTTTCCCTCCGTCCTTTTCAGGCAGTCTCTCCCTTCTATCTTAAGACTCTAAGAGGTCAGAGATTTTAATTTGTTTGATTCACTGCCATATTTCTCATACCTCAAGTGGAGCCTAACACATAAATTTCTGGTAAACATTTTTTGAATAAATGAATGTAGATCTAGCTTGATCTCAGAATAGAATATCTAGATGAATGTATGAACTGAACTTCTTTAGCTAATCTTGATAATCACTTTTCAGCCCATCTTTCAAAAACTGAATAGCAGTAAGTGTGGGATGATAAACCCTGATAAAAACCTGTAGTAGGCTTCTACGTTTTGAATTTAAGAGCTCCATATGCCTTCACACAAACAATTCAGTTAGAGGTCATTTGGTTTTTCTTTAGTGGAAAAATTGAAAACCTGAAGAAGAAGATAGTATACTTCAACATAAAATCTCAAGAAACAAAGGAAAGAATAACACATAAGCAATTTAGTCATGGTACCAATATGGAATTTTGGTTTTTTTATTTTGGTGTAGGGATTGAACCCAGGACCTCACACACTTCAGGCAAGTGTTCTACCACTGAGCCACATCCCTAGGTCTTTAATTCTTATTAAGGTGGAAATTCTTAAACACAGACAAGTGGTAGCTCATTTTAGTTATTGAAAATGTCACAGTGCTAAGTGAAATAACCCAATCCCAAAAAACCAAAGGCCAAATGTTTTCTCTGATAAGTGGATGCTGATCCATAATGGGGGGTGGGAGAGGGCATATGAAAAATGGAGGAACTTTGGATTGGGCCTAGGGGAGGGAGGAGAAAGGAAGGGGCCTGGAGGGTAGGAAAGATTGTGGAATGAGGTGGACATCATTACTCTAAGCACATGTACATATGGTGCTGCACATATGTGTAAGGCCATATCGTGTATGTACAACCAGAGAAATGAAAAGTTGTGCTGCAATTGTATACGATGAATCAAAGTGCATTCTGCTGTCATATATACCTAATTAGAATAGTAAGTTAATTAATTAATTAAAAAAAAAAAGAAAATATCACAAGTATATACATAGAATATCTAGCTTTAAATAGTGTATAGCCTCCATTAAAAACTCATGGCAAAAGATATGGCCAGGTGAAAACGAATAGCTTTTCAACCATATGTTGAAAGTTGGGGAATGACAATTGAGTTCTAAGAAAATGATCAATCATTGTAACTCAGTTGAAAGTATCACATTTTTATTGTCATAAATTAAGGAGGACTTTGTAGGTAAAATACTAAAATATGTCACTGCAAATTTACTATGCAATTTTAGTATTTATTTTCTTTAGAAAATAATGTTAAGTCTTGCCTGTGGAGTTAGGTTGCTTGGATTTATGTCCTGGTTCTGCCACTTACCAACTGGTTACCTTGGCCAGGGACCTTCTGACTGGGTCACTTAATATTGAATAGTAATAGCCTACTTCCTGAGGATCAAAGGAAGGAATGCACAGTGCCCAGTAATGACTCCCACAGTGAACTGTCCTTCTTAGTCTTAACATTTTCTTATTTACCTTTTTTAGAATTGTATTCCCATTGGAGAGCAGCTTCAGTCAGTTTTGGGAACTACCGGGTATAAGCATATGATTGCACTCCAGCCATCGTCCACTTCAGGAGCCTTGGACAAGTCATCCTCCACACCTTTCCCTTTTAGAACTGAATTGACATCTGCAAACAGGACTGAACCCTTACAGGCTTTCATCGACAAAAGCACCAGGCCACCTGGGGAAGGAAATACCACCAGCCGCGACAGGTGTAAAACTGTGCCACAAAACCATTCCCTTCTTGAGAATGATCTTAAAAATGCAGTATCTTCTTTCTTACCAAAGAAGGCGAGTGACGGCTCACTGCCCAGCTCTGAGTTGCTGCCCTTTCTCCAAAATCTGTGCAGTCAAGTTAACCATCTTCGCGTGGGACATAACGCCAAGTGGCAGGAAAACGTCTCCAAGCCCCGTGAAGGCATTGTTGGTGTTGCGTGAGTATTTTATCTCAAGACAAATGTGGTTACAAATGAGGTTTATAGCCGGTAGGTGAGAGAATCAGATGAAGGGGAAACAGATCTGTCTCAATGAACAATCTTTCCAGAGAAAATTTGAGCAGTTTTTGCATTTTACCATGAACACGCTTGTGGGCAATAACTGTTCTCCAGAGAGAAATGCATGGCTGTGACAGAAGTGCCTATAACTGAAGGTGCTGCACACCTCTCTGGCATTTGGTGGAAGGGTTACCAGCAGCAGTTGTGGGTTGGAGTAGAAGGCTATTTGCATGAGTGGAAAGGTGCTGTGGTAATAATGATCTTTACATTGTTTTTCTAGCTGGGTATACTAAGCATGTCATTGCTTTGTAGATTATATTTGGTCTAGGTTAACTTTGGAATTATCAAAAACTATTTTAGGATGGTGATTATCTGTAGGATACAAGTTTTTATGCTCTAGTCTCTTAATCCCTTACCTTGACAACATGTTTCAGTAAGAATTGGCTGAGGAGTTAGTATGTTCTTAATCCTTTTCACAAATATAGTGTGTCAAAATAGTATTCTAGATTGGAATTCAGGACTTTGGTCATAGTTTTCGTTTATTTTCTATACTTAATCTCTCTTAGAATTTTCATCTAAAAATGAGATAGTTATATTAGTTTGGAACTAAATACCACTAACCACCAGCAGGATCAGTTGGCATTTATAGAACTCTCTGCCAACAGTAGCAGAGTACATTTTTTTTTTTTTTTGAAGATTCACAAAGATAAATTATATGATAAGTCTTAAAGCACACCTAATGAAGTTTAAGGAGATTGGATCATAGAATGTGCTTTCTCTGGCTACAAAAGACAAGAAATCATATCTATAACAGAAAGACAAGACATTTAGATTGACAAAACACCTGTAAACTAAACAACACTTGTAAATCTATGATTCAAGAAGTCTCAACAGAAAAATTTTTTTACGAATATATGAAAATAACAATAGATCAAAATTTGTGTGATTCAGCTAAAGAGGTTTTGCTAAGAACTTGTTTACCACTGTATGCTTGCATTAGAAAAGAGCAGAGTTTTCAAATCAATACTATAAAACTACAGCTACTCAATAAAAATGAAATAGATAATCTGAATAGTCTTATAAGCACTAAAGAAATTGAATTTTTCATTTAAAAGCCAAGCAAAAGGAACCCAAAGCAAGCAGAAGAATGAAACAATAAAGAACAGAAATCTATTTAATTGAAAAAAAAAATCAATTAAAAAGCTGGTTCTTTGAAAATTTCAGTAAAATTGACAAATTTCTAGCAAGACTGGCAAATAAGAGATGACACAAATCACCAATCTGAGGAATGTAATGGGAAATACCATTACAGGGCCTCAAGCCATAATAAAGATAAGGGAATATTGTAACAATTTGATTGACAACTAGGAGGAAATGGATTAATTCCTTAAAAAACACAAATTATCAAACTCAACCAACATGAAATAAATAATGGAACACTTCTATGGCCACTAAATACTATATTCAAAATTGAAGAGATCGTGAAAAAGAAATGTCCTGTCCCAAATGCTTTCACTCAAGAATTCTGCCAAACATTTAAAGAAAACCACTTTTACACATTTCCAAAAAATAGAAGAGGAGGGAAGACTTCCCAACTCATTTCATGAAGCCAGCATTACTCTGCTACCAAGACTAAATTATCCCCAAAGAAATAAGTACATATAAATGAATGTAAAACATAATTGTACATATAAATCTGACAAGAGACATAGAGGACCTTATGACCTGAAAATTGTTAAATACTGATGAAAGAAATGAAAGAAGACCCAAAGAAATGGAGCAATATACCGTATTCATGGTACTGTTGAAGACTCAACAGTAAAAATGTCAGTTTTCCATTAATTGATATATATATATATGTTTAGCACAATTTCTATCAGAAGTTCAAAATGTATTTTTTGTAAATACGAATAAGATGATTCCAAAATTTGGAAGTGGAAAATTCTAAGTGGAAAGACAACAGTACTGGAATTAGAATAGAGAGAAATCACTACTGGATTTCAAGAGTCTGTTTTGGCAAGACAGCTAGACACATAGATGAACAGAATAGAACAGAAAGCACAGAAATCGCTCTACAGAAGTATACCTGTTGGCCTTCTACCAACGTGCAAAAGTCATTCAGTGGAGGAAGGATGATCGTCTAGCATGTGATGCTGGAACAAATGGAGAGTCACAGGCTAAAAAATGAACCATGAATGCAGATATATGAAAATTAACACACAATGGAGCATAAGCTAAAATGTTAAGTATAAAACTGTAAAATCTTTTTAATCTATGGGAGAAATTTTTAGGGACCTAGGAAGAGAATTCTTCCAGGTCACCAAAAGCATGATCCATAAAATATGTATATAGAGCCCATTTAATATTTACAAATTTTACATATGAAAGGCCCCAGTAAGAGGATTAATACAGACTGGGAGAAAATATTTGTAAATCACGAATCCAACAAATGCCTTGTATCTAAAATGTATGAAGGATTTGCAAGATTTGTTTTTTAAAATACCATCTAATTAGAACATGGATAATAGATGTGAAGAATCATCAAGAGGATGGATATATAAATAGCAAATAAGCCCAGGAAAAGATGATCAACAGTGACTTCAGTGTTATTAGAGAAATGCTTATTAAAACCACAAGGTAGGGCTGAGGTTGTGGCTCAGAGGTAGAGCGCTCGCCTACCATGCGTGAAGGACTGGGTTCGATCCTTAGCACCACATAAAAATAAAATAAAGATATTGTGTCCACCTATAACTAAAAAATAAATATTAAAAAACCCCCACAAGATATCTCTATATATCTATTTGAATGACTAAAATTTAAAATTATAAACAATAAGAATACCAAATGTTGACAAGCATATAGAGAAACTGGATCTCATTCCTTGCTGGCGGGAATTAAAATGGTACAACCACCCTAAAAACATAGCTGGGCAGTTTCTTAACAACTAAACACACAGTTATACCATACAACCCATTAGTCCTAATCCTGGGCATTTATCCCAAAGAAATGAAAAGATGTGGCAACATTAAAAAGCTCTACGCAGTTGTTCATGAGACCTTTATTTGTAGTAGTGCCAAACAAAAAACAATCAAAATGTCTCATGGTAGGTGAATGGTTAAACAGACTGGGGTGCATCCATATCATGAACAACAATTTAAATGGCTCTGCAGGGCATTATGCCAAGATCAAACTTATTGGCGTTTACAATCTTGAGGACTCCTAAAATCTTTTAGTTTTACAGCTATATAAAATATTTGTTTAAAAATAATAATTAAACCTTTTCATGTCAACGTAAATAAGAAATAGTCAAACTTTCAAAACATGTAACAAGAAGAATATTGTTTTAAATTTATGCAAATCTATATTAGCTTTTGGGCACATTCTCATACACGTTACTCTATAGCATGTGTAATTAAACATAGCTAGTATGAGAACAGTAGGAATACCGAGAATAGTTAACCTCTGAAAACATACATATTTATATAGTAAATCTACTACCTGAGGAAATTCTAAAGAGAATTCACAGCCTTGATTTGTATAGGCTCTGGAAAAGTACTTTTTCCTCATTGAGCTCCTGAAAGGATTATGGAAACCCTAAGCGTTGTGGATTTTTAGAAATCGGTGTACTTTTGATCCTATTAATTTTTGTTTGTCCATCCTAGATAAATTCATAAACATTTTCAGATCAGGTTAGCAAAGAACCTTCTAGTGTTTTAGTAAGGTTGTTTGTATTTAAGAGGAAAAAGCTATATGAATTAGAGGGTTGCTTTGAAAGAATACTTGGAAAAGATACTTTTTTTTTTTTTTAAATTGGGCAAAATCAGTTTTTATTTGGAACTTAAAAAGGGCATTCCCCAAGGTTTGTTTTTGTAGATGTGTCTTCATTTTTATGTTCCCACTTCAACTGAATACTTAATAAGAAGTAAGGAGTGTGTTGGGCATTAAGGGCTGTGGTCACCTATTGCATGTGTTTTGCAACCTGGAAATGAGTCACAGGAGCAGTGCAGTTGTGGAGACAAGTTTCAGCCATGTTCCTTGGCCACTGGTTGCATAGCTTGCTTGTTTTTGTTGTAATAGTGGGGAAAATTGATAGACTTTTTAAACTTATTTTTAGAGTGGAAGAACAGCCTATTTGCTCCTACTTGGAAAAGATTCTTTCTAAAAATATGGAACTGATGGAAAAGAAACTTGTGGACTACATTGATCGGCGAATACTCCAACTCCAGGAGCACATAGATGATAAGATTACCTTGTTAATGGACTTCCTGCAGAATCCCAACTCCCCGCCCAATGGGCTGCCTTTGAGACATTATGACTCTGGAGAAAGACTTTCCAATGGAGAAAGATAAGCTCTCAGCGTACGATGGCCTGCAGATATTTATTACCTATTTATTACAAAGCCCAAACCTAAAACGTTTATGAAAAGCAAGTATCTGATGTCCTCCGAAGGATCATCGGCTTACATAAAGTGACCTCAGTGTCCATTTTTACTGCCCTTGTTATTGTAAATCCAGTACTGTACACCAAGAGGTGACCCCATTGTCCTAAGTTATTCTTATTTGCAGTGTTTTTCACTTACAGATTTTTATGTATTCTTGTGTTTTAAATGTTTAAATGCTTATGGATTTCTAATGCAGTTCATTGGTTTGTATTATATGTGTTTGAAGTGAATTTTTTATTTATATGGACACCTTATTTTACAGTCTTAGGAATGTGAAAAATAGTGTTCAGAGTATTTGATATTCTTTATCTACTTGTTTTTGGAAAATTGTATAATTGGAACTTTTAATTCAGGTTACCAATATACATTTTCTATTGTTTATCTGAGATAATGAATCAATCACCAGGTTTGATTAGGTGGAAAATTCCTTTACACAAGGCTGTTAGTACTATTTGTTTTATTACAATGTAACTATAGATAGGAAAAAAAAAAATCCAAACCAGCGTATTCTTTTTTAAAATTACTACTTTGGCTTTGGTGTTTGATGTAAAATGGGAGCATTCATTTCATTTGATCTCAGTAACCCCAGTCAATATAAGGAATTCTTTGCTTTCTCAAGCTGATACAGCTTCTTATCCCCAAAGTCCTTCTGATCATATTTAATGTGTGACATCCTGAGAATCTGCATTGAATAGTAAGACATATGAATCAAAGAGGTTGCAAGACTCTAGGTTATTTAGTCTTCAGTACTTTTTTAAACTGTTGTGTATGTTTCCAAGGGTGATGTATTTGCAGCTAAAAATAGATGCATCCACTCTGGAAGCTGCTTATCTTAAGTGAATGGGAGTCTCATCTTGAACTCAGCTTATATTAAAATGTTTCATTTTTTAGAAAAAGGATTATTCATATTCATTTATTGTTTTGTAAAATTTGTTCTCTAAAATGAGAGCTAATTTATATATGGCTTGTTCATTTTTATTTTACTATAAAGATGACACAGTATACTAAACTCACTGACCACAGTCTCTTGAGGATTTGCATAACATTTTTCTTAGACCTTTATGGGCCATTATTTATGGGATAAGCATAACAAGTAGTTGTAAGATAGCATTTCTTGTCATTGAGAATAATCTGTCTCAAGGCTAAACTCAGGAGTGCAGACTTACAGCTTCTGGTAGTTTGGGTCTGTTCAATTAGGGGCCCCATTGTGGCCGTTGGTCAGAATGCCTTGTAGAATGTGGCCACAATTGCTGCATTCAGAGCAAGGACCATGAATGAAGAGAGACACAGACAGTTGAAAGACCAATACTAAATTCTTTCTGCATGTAGTTGATGATAAAATACTGTAACTGAGAAGGAAGATTTTAAAAAGTAGTAATTGGCAATATGAAATCTCACAAATTCATGAAATTCTGGGGGTTTTATGTATTTATTAATATATAAAAACCAGTACAATCATGGAACTGTTATTGAATTGGTTCAATATGTTAAAAATCAAAGATAAAATGCCCATAAAAGTATTTCTGTTTCAAATGACTGAGTTTTATTTTCCAATGTGTAGTAGTAACTTTGTCAAACTTAAAGTATTATAGTCAAGAGCTTATACGGCATTATTTATTAACAGTATTTTCCATAGTTCTCAAAATATATTTGATCAACAAGGAAATTATTTCCTCCTCTGCAATTAAAAGAAAATTCTTCTCTGCCATGTATGTCATTTCTGTAATAAGGTTCATTCACAGATTTTCAGATCTAAAGATGTATTAGGCAATGCAAGACGTCGTCAATATAGTTTTACAAGTTACTGAATTTAATTTTTTGTTTTCTTATTTAAGAAGACTTTATTGTATGATGACATGTATCCGCCATCATGGTATCATTCAGTACAGTTCTACTGCTCTCAAAGTCCTCTGTGTTCCACTTACTCATCTCACCCCCAACTCCTAGCAACCATTAAACTTTTTTTTTTTTTTTGGTGCTGAGGATTAAACCTAAGGGTGCTTAACCACTGAGCCACATTCCCAACCCTTTTTTAATTTTTCTTTTGAATTGTGTGGGGCCTGGCTAAATTACTGAGGCTCACTTTGAACTTTCAATGCTCCTGCCTCAGCTTCTGGAATTGCTAAGATTTCAGGTGTGCACCACCACGCCTGGCTAAACTTGTTACTGTCTCCATAGTTTTGCCTTCTCTAGAATGTTACAGAGTTGGAATCATTCATGCAGCTTGTTGCCTCTTCAGATTGGTTTCTTTCAATTAGCAATATGCACTTGCATTTCCTCCCTGTCTTTTCATGGCTTAATAGTTCATTTCGTTGTTTTCACTATAGAAATGTTTTTTTAATAAACCAAAAATAATAATCTTTTGTAGTGCAGGCAAATAATACAAGGATCGCAGGACTTTTATAGTTTTATCATTTTCACTTAATAAATAAGTTATTATAACTTTTTACTTGTGGCTTATCTTTAAAAGCAAAACAAGCTTATCGAGCTTGAGATACATTCAATACCAGGTGCTTGGATCAGGTGAAGAAAATAATCAAAAGTAGCCAAAATTTATGGTTTGAGTTCCTTTGCTACATCTCGTGCCCCATTCAATCTCAGAATTCAGTTCTTGGTTTTTCAAAATTAGATTGTACTGTGGTAAGATAATACTCCATTTTAAAAATAACCTTTTTTCAAATAAGCTTTTATGTGTGACATTGGTTTATTTTATTACCCATTTAGGAATTAAAATACATCACTTACTTATCAATAACTTATCTAAAGAACTCAAGTAGGGGCTGGGGCTGTGGCTCAGTGGTAGAGCACTTGCCTGGCATGTGTGAGGCACTCGGTTCTATGCTCAGCACCATATAAATAAATAAATAAAGGTATTATGTCCATCTACAACTAAAAAAAAAATTAAAAAACAAAGAAGTCAAATAGAACAGGTGTTTTAAAAAATAAGAACATCGCATGTTTGTCAAAGACAATATTGGTAAATAGTGAATTATCACTGTATTTATTATTATTAAAATGTGACTTGCATGTTATCAACTGATGGAAATAAAAATTCACTCTGTAGGTTTAGTGAAAAAATAACTCTCAAAGTAATATTTGGAACTTTGGATTTGTTCTCTTTGCAAGATAGCAAACTTCCTTAAGCCTTTATTTCTTAAATCCACATGAATTAAAATTAGTTACTTACATAATACCTTTTCTGCTATTATTAATATGTTAGTATTATATAATTAAAAGCTATTACCTGTTAGAAAAAAGGAAATGTTGACTTTGTGTAAACTGAACCTCTTCTGATTATTTGCCAAGAATTTCCTGGTTTTTTGGAAAACTGGCCTGTTTCAAACTCAGTTTGATTATGTGGCTTTTAGCATGAGTGAATCCATATTGGTTAGGTCTGTTCTGCTGGGATCTAGTGCAGGAGCTCAATCCAAAGCAATGACCTCCCATAAATTTTATTACCTTTAGCATGAATTTCATCAACTTGTTAGATTTACCCACCTGATCCTCTTAATTCAGACACAAGAATAAATCCTGAAATATATTCTTTCATTTTAATTTGGCTCATTAATCACCCATATCCAGCCATTGACCTGACTATCACCCAGTTCCTTAGGAAGGATTTTTCTGAGTTCCAAGTGGAGACAAGAGTGGCTCAAAACTCTGATAGGGGAAACTAAGCTTAGGGAACAGAAGTGCCTCCACTGCTCACTTGGAAAATTGGGCCAGGGCAGGAATCAGGGCCTGGCTCTGTCCTTCTACTACTGAACCTTAACCCTGCAAATGTCCTCTTGTTCCACATCCAGTGCCCCCAACTCTGTGAACCAAATGCTGAGTTGGGGCTCTGAGCCAGGGGTCTGTAAAGAAATTCAGTCACTCACAGGCAATTTAGGGAAGTGGAAGCACTTTTTGCTCTGCATTCTGGATAGTGGACACTTCATTGCAGTCCACACTTCATGACCATTCAGGAGTACTGGGCTTGATGGAGACTGGAGGCTGGAGGTCCAACAGAGGGAGGAAGGGGCCAGAGCTATGTTCAGGATTTGTGAGCTGGACTGAGTGATGCAATCCCTGTGTGTCTCTGGGAATTCTCTAGAATTCATACCCACAGGGACTTTTACCAGGTCTATTATTTTACTAAGTGCCCATCCTGTGACTAACATCTGGTTCAGGTGGTTATTAACTCAATCTGCTGATTGCATCTCTGGTGGCAGAAGCAGCCCAGATTATGTGAGACTCTTTTCAGAGCTCCTTCTAGTCCTTTATATTCCTCAGATGAAGACCTTATGTTGGCCCTGGCAATAGCCATGAGAAGAGTCCATGTTGCCCACAGGAGAGTGTATGACTTTGAAAAGCCTGTGCCCCCAGAGGCAACCTAGTGCTTCCAGTTCAGGAAGAAATAAACATCTGGGTGGACAGTTGCCCTCAGCAGTGAGCATGTGCCAAGATTTGAAAGCTGGTCTGAGCCTTTGAAAAAACCCAAATGGAACCACACAATCATTTTCTTCAGAATTTCAAAGAGAAGGTTCTACGTAATAAATCTAACTTAGAACCAGGAGAAAACCTGGGCTCATTCAGAGACGTCAAGTTTCTTTTTGTCTATGCTGCCAGGAAGATTCAGTCAAAACTCAGTTTTCAAATGTTTTTATTTTTTATACCAGGCACCTAGCAATATGCTATCCCTTCTTGTTAACACCATTCATTCACATGGCCTCTATTTTCTACTTTAACTCTCCTGCTTGTGTTGCAATATAAAATGATGAGCTAGTTGCCTCAAGTACCAAAGTGGTAACACAAAACTTTAGGAAAAGGACATTTAAAACTAACAACAACTGAGGCAGGCAGGATTCTTTTCATTATTGTACCTTTATGTGAAAGTACATAAATATCTCATTAGTACATAAATATAAACACTATAGAATTTCAATAATAAGGCTTCTACTAAGAAATATTGTTCACAAATGTGTGTCCACCATTCCCACTTCAGAGCCCCTCATTTGTGCCACAATAGCAAGGTGGCAGGGCATCGTAATCTGCATATAGGCTATATTCGTCACAGCACGGGAGGGCAGGACAAGACTCCATCGTGCCTTTAGGTGGGATGATCTTGCTCTGGAACTTGGTTGGACAGCATTCCTTTGCCGCTCTTAAGAAAAAACATACCAAAGCATGGGCTTAGAATTTTTCTTCACAGTGCATTTCTTACAATTATCAGTGCTATCTGGGAGGTTCAGGGTTGGAGCTAGTCAGTCACACACGTGACACCACCCTAGCTAACACTCTCTGGTCCTGTGCTAAATTCCTCCCTCATCCTTTCCTACAACTGCTGTGCATGTAAAATCAGGTCACAAGAATAAGGAGAGTGACTTGAAGCAGGGACCCACCAGCTGCTTGCTGTAGGCCCTCAAGATGCAGGAATGATGGGGAAGGTGCCACACTTGGCTGTGACCTGGTCTCTGTATCCACCATCTAACTCCCTAGAATGGGGACACCAGTGCTGCTAACTGCTCTCCACACTTAAGGTCCTCTCCCCAAAACTTAAATACCTCCTCTTCGACCTGCACCCCTTGTCAGGGGTTCTCTAGCAGACCTGTCCTACAGGTCCACTCCGCTGTTCCCAAGGCCTCCAGCAATGGAATGGGGGAACATCCTGGGAGCTCCCAACTTGGCAAAAGGAGGTCAGTGCGGCCTATCCTCTGACTGAGTGGGAGGCAGATCTTGCTCCCACAGTGTCCCCCACATTCAGTCTGCAGCACCCAGGACAGAGGGAGGCTCAGCCGAGGGGCTGCTAAATACCTGAAGGGAAACTCCGTGAGGTCCAACGACAGCAAAGCTGTGCCGGGACACACAGCCTCTAGGCTGAGAACATTCTACTTAGGAGTCACAGCCCCAAGCCGGGAGGAAATAACCCCAAGATCCTGTGCCTTTGCCTTCTCCAACCTGTCTGTGGCTCTTGACCTCACCCAGGGAGTGGCTACTGCAGCAAAGAATGAGCAGTCAAGCTGAGAACTCAGGTATCCCATCTCAAGGGCACTCACTCTGCCCATATGACTCACTTCAGTATGCTGGAGACCTTGAAGAAAAGACTGAGGACCACGCAGATCAGCACGATGGCCGCAAATAGTAAGCCGGCCCCAATGCCGATGATAATCTTTGTCTTGAGATCAAACATCTTTCACACCTGGGCAGAGAAGTGTAGGCAAGCAGTGAGGGTGGCTTCCCTCCCATATGCCATCAGCAACCTCCACACCTTCACCCAGGGGAGGAGGAACGGACCCAAACACAGATCCTCTGTGTGGTAAACCTTGAGGGATCTTCCCAGAAAGGCTGAGGCTGGCCAGGGGTGGGTAAGAGGGTTCACTTCTGTATGAAGAGGAGCTGAGATACAAAATCCAGACAGAAGGAGTAGAAGGACAGCCAGCCAGGGGACAGACTCTTTGCCTCTCACAGGATATGGTGGCCCTTAATTAACAATCAGGCCTGCAGTGGAGCTAATGGCTTTGTGCCTGGGCCTCTGAACTGTGTCCACACTTACTCAGAATGACCTCCTGCTATACGTAAGCTTTAAAGATGTTTTATGGGACTGACGGAATTACTTCAAAGAATTATTGTCTGACAATATTGATAATATGCAAAGCTATTTTTTAAGTGGTAAATGTTTTAGGGAATAAAAGTTTTAAATCACCCACTGCCAACTGGGTCCTGCCATCTCAGAGTTAAGGAGATTCTGGAAGCTTCTGGCCAACCCCTGCCCAAGGCTGAGATGGGGAGTGGCCTGCATAGACCCAGAATCAGCTTCTTCTGGGACCTCTTGTTACTCATCTAGTAGACCATGGGTGTTCTTCCTAAATACTCCCCCCACCCCACCAGGAAATCTGATTTGTCTGGGATAAGAGTTTGCTTCATCTCACTCCAAAATTGGGGAGTAAGAAGAGTACATAATCTGACTGGCAAGCAGATTAATTAAACCACAGATAGACAGTTAAACCATCCAGAGGTGGATTAAGGATGCTGTTGCAGGGGTGGGGGGACAACTTTGAAGAAATTATTTTATCAGAAGTTATTTTCTCATACCTGTCATTTGAGAAAGAGGAATCTAATCATTCTGGCAAGAGGAAATAAGGTCTATGGTTGAGAGTGGATGTCTGGAAGCAGTGTGGTCCAGTGGTAGCAGAATGTGCCAACTCCAACATTCATGCCCCAAGCAGTGTGACATCAACCCATAGGATCCCAGCTCCCTACCTCAGAGTTCTGAATTCTGTTCCACATGTAGGTATGTATTAGCTCCTATAAAATATAAATGCTATTTTGAATCAATTCTAACATTTTCAGTATTTTGACTACTAATCAAAAGCAGATTTAATATTTCAATTGAAGCCTGATAGACTGTATGTTTCGATTACTCAATGAAATAACATGGAGCCATTTACCAGGATTCAAGCACGTAATTGTTGAAATTGTTAGATTTTCACTTTTTACAGTTAAGATGTTACAAAATGAAAGGTAAAGAGGATACTGGTTCTGATCAGGTTGGCATGATGGGTTCGTCACACTACAGCTGGAACAGTAATATGAACTGAGAGACCTGGGCCGACAAGTGGCATAGGTGTGTTTTCACTTCTGACAAGTGCAATTATAATTCCCAGGAATAACATACATCTAAGGAACGAGAACTCTGCTCCTACATGAACAAACATTAGATAAGTTCTCATATTAAAGAATTAAGTTCACCAAAATATTGAGGGTAAAGCATCTTTTTATGAAAATAGACATCTTAAACAAACATTAAATAAAAAGAAAATTCTTCTATTTATTCCAAACAAGTAGCTTCCAGAGTGAATGCATTTATTTTTACATTCAAATATATCACCCTTCAACATATATACACTTGTATCTGTTTTTTTTTTTTAAGTATACAAACATATTTAAAGAATTTTATTGTAGTATTTCAAAAAGTTAATACATGCTTATGGTTCAAAATTCAGACAAACAAACAGGTAAATAGAGAAAAGTAATGCAGTACACCTCTTTTCCTTGTCTGCCCACATCTTCTTTTGGAACAGCCATTGTTACAGAAGACTTCTTTCATATTGTCCCAGAGACATATATTTGCATATGTATGTGTGTATGTCAGTAGTGTAGAATTTTTATTCAAGTAGGTCTAGTTTTTCTTTGTGTTCCACTCTGTGGAATCATAAGGCATTTACAAAGATGTCAGTTATAAGAGAGATAGAGATGAGGTATCTGGGTAACATTTTAAGAATTCACCTCTTTTACAAAGATACATTTTATTGTGTATATTTAAGGTGATGATGTTATGGGATACACATAGATACTAAAAAATGTTACTATATTGAAGCAAATTAACATTCATATAGTGCTCATTTTTAAAAGAATTTCTTTGACATTTTTTCCATATTTTGATTGGTACATTATAATTTTATATACATAATGATGGGATTTGTTGTTACAAATTTGTACATGCACACTATATAACAATATAATTTGGCCAATATTATTCCTCACTATTTACCCTTTCTCTCCCCGCTTTCTCCTCCAGGTCCTTTTCCTCTCTCTCTCTTTTTTTTTTTTTAAATTTTTTTATTGTTGGTTGTTCAAAACATTACAAATTTCTTGACATATCATATTCCACACTTTGATTCAAGTGGGTTATGAACTCCCACCTTCACCCCATACACAGATTGCAGAATCACATCAGTTACACATCCATTGATTTACAAATTGCCATACTAGTGTCTGTTGTGCTCCGCTGCCTTTCCCATCCTCCCCCCTCCCCCCTCCCCACCTCTCCCCTCCCCTCCCCTCCTCTCTCTCTACCCCCTCCACTGTATAACCCTGAGGGTCTCCTTCCATTTCCATGCAATTTCCCTTCTCTCTCCCTTTCCCTCCCACCTCTCATCCCTGTTAAATGTTAATCTTCTTCTCCTGCTCTTCGTCCCTACTCTGATCTTAGTTACTCTCCTTATATCAAAGAAGACATTTGGCATTTGTTTTTTAGGGATTGGCTAGCTTCACTTAGCATAATCTGCTCTAATGCCATCCATTTCCCTGCAAATTCTATGATTTTGTCATTTTTTAATGCAGAGTAATACTCCATTGTGCATAAATGCCACATTTTTTTAATCCATTCGTCTATTGAAGGGCATCTAGGTTGGTTCCACAGTCTTGCTATTGTGAATTGTGCTGCTATGAACATCGATGTAGCAGTGTCCCTGTAGCATGCTCTTTTTAGGTCTTTAGGGAATAGACCAAGAAGGGGAATAGCTGGGTCAAATGGTGGCTCCATTCCCAGCTTTCCAAGAAATCTCCATATTGCTTTCCAAATTGGCTGCACCAATCTGCAGTCCCACCAGCAATGTACAAGTGTACCCTTTTCCCCACATCCTCGCCAGCACTTGTTGTTGTTTGACTTCATAATGGCTGCCAATCTTACTGGAGTGAGATGGTATCTTAGGGTGGTTTTGATTTGCATTTCTCTGACAGCTAGAGATGGTGAGCATTTTTTCATGTACTTGTTGATTGACTGTATGTCCTCCTCTGAGAAGTGTCTGTTCAGGTCCTTGGCCCATTTGTTGATTGGGTTGTTTGTTCTCTTATTGTCTAAGTTTTTGAGTTCTTTGTATACTCTGGATATTAGGGCTCTATCTGAAGTGTGAGGAGTAAAGATTTGTTCCCAGGGTGTAGGCTCCCTATTTACCTCTCTTATTGTTTCTTTTGCTGAGAAAAAACTTTTTAGTTTGAGTAAGTCCCATTTGTTGATTCTAGTTATTAACTTTTGTGCTATGGGTGTCCTATTGAGGAATTTGGAGCCCGACCCCACCGACTGTAGATCGTAGCCAACTTTTTCTTCTATCAGACGGCGTGTCTCTGATTTGATATCAAGCTCCTTGATCCATTTTGAATTCACTTTTGTGCATGGCGAGAGAAAGGGATTCAGTTTCATTTTGTTGCATATGGATTTCCAGTTTTCCCAGCACCATTTGTTGAAGATGCTATCCTTCCTCCATTGCATGCTTTTAGCCCCTTTATCAAATATAAGATACTTGTAGTTTTGTGGATTGGTTTCTGTGTCCTCTATTCTGTACCATTGGTCCACTCGCCTGTTTTGGTACCAGTACCATGCTGTTTTTGTTACTATTGCTGTGTAGTATAGTTTGAAGTCTGGTATCGCTATACCGCCTGATTCACACCTCCTGCTTAGCATTGTTTTTGCTATTCTGGGTCTTTTATTTTTCAATATGAATTTCATGATTGCTTTCTCTATTTCTACAAGAAATGCCGTTGGGATTTTGATTGGCATTGCATTAAACCTATAGAGAACTTTTGGTAATATCGCCATTTTGATGATGTTAGTTCTGCCTATCCATGAACGGGGTATATTTTTCCATCTTCTAAGATCTTCTATTTCTCTCTTTAGGGTTCTGTAGTTTTCATTGTATAAGTCTTTCACCTCTTTTGTTAGGTTGATTCCCAAGTATTTTATTTTTTTTGAAGATATTGTGAATGGAGTGGTTGTCCTCATTTCCATTTCAGAGGATTTGTCGCTGATATACAGGAATGCCTTTGATTTATGCGTGTTGATTTTATATCCTGCCACTTTGCTGAATTCATTTATTAGCTCTAATAGTTTCTTTGTAGAGCCTTTTGGGTCTGCTAGGTATAGAATCATATCATCTGCAAATAGTGATAATTTAAGTTCTTCTTTTCCTATTTTTATGCCTTTAATTTCTTTAGTCTGTCTAATTGCTCTGGCCAGTGTTTCGAGAACTATGTTCAACAGAAGTGGAGAGAGAGGGCATCCCTGTCTTGTTCCAGATTTTAGAGGGAATGCCTTCAGTTTTTCTCCATTCAGAATGATGCTAGCCTGAGGCTTAGCATAGATTGCTTTTACAATATTGAGGTATGTTTCTGTTATCCCTAGTTTTTCTAGAGTTTTGAACATAAAGGGATGCTGTACTTTGTCGAATGCTTTTTCCGCATCTATCGAGATGATCATATGGTTCTTATTTTTAAGTCTATTGATGTGGTGAATAACATTTATTGATTTCCGTATATTGAACCAGCCTTGCATCCCAGGGATGAATCCTACTTGATCATGGTGCACAATTTTTTTGATATGTTTTTGTATCCGATTTGCCAGAATTTTATTGAGGATTTTTGCATCTAGGTTCATTAGAGATATTGGTCTGTAGTTTTCTTTCTTTGAAGTGTCTTTGTCTGGTTTAGGTATCAGGGTGATGTTGGCCTCATAGAATGAATTTGGAAGTTCTCCCTCTTTTTCTATTTCC